TTCATATTTAATTATCAATTTAAGTCTTTAATCACATTTAAAAAAAATTTAGATTGATATAACTATTAATTTATATTTTCATTTTTTAAAAAACTTATTTAACATTTTATTAATTTTACAAACTAGTACGGCAAAGTCTTTCAAATTTAGAGGTTAAAATATTTATTTACTCAAAAATTTATTATTACAACTATAATATTAAGAGTAAAAAAAAATATTTAGTAACAAATAATTTTTTTTGGTAAGTACGACTTTTTAAAAAACATTAATTATCAAATTCAATAAATTTAACATACATATCAAATTTATAATTAAATATTAAAATTATGGAAAATACTCTTTAACACATAATAAATATAATATCTTAATCTTAATCAATCAAATATCATTTTTAATATAATTTAAAATAGTGATTATAAAAATTAATAAACTTATTCGTTGACCAAATGATAGCATAAGATGCGAGTACACACATTATTTTTTCATTAAGATACTAAATATTTCTAATTAGTCAAATAAAAAAATACAAATAACTACCAAAAATAAATAAATAAATAAATAAATAATAGAAATTAGTATTTTTTTTATTTATTTTGAATTTCTGAACTCTTTTCAAACTATAAATAGTGGGTAGTTTTTATGTTTAAATTTTAAACGAGGAAGAAGCTGAAGCGTGTAAGGGAAAGAGTTGATAGCAGAGAAAGAAATGGAGGCCTATAACAACGTCGACGGTTCTTTGCCACCTTCATACGACGTCGCTTGGGGCCAAGATCCCAGGTTCTGCAAGCACGTTCACGACAACCTCCATGGAAACATTTATATCGATCCCGTAATTTCAATCCACCAAAACATTATTTCATTTTCTACATAGACAGTGCAATTGCTAATCTCTTGATTTATGTATTCTCTTTTGTGATTGTTCGATTTTCCAGCTTAGTTTGAAGTTCATCGACACTGAGCAGTTTCAGAGGCAAGTTTGTTTGTTAATTGTTAATTCTGCGGTTTTGTTTTTGTTTTTTTTTAATATTTTTTTTATGAATTTCTTTTTGGTTTGTTTGTAATGCAGGCTTCGCGAGTTGAAACAACTAGGTGAGTTAGTATCTGTTTCTTGAATCGAAGAAATAAGCACTAGTGGTTTAGAAGCAACTTTGAAATTGAAATTAAATGCACTTGCACAGTTACTTGTTCTAGGTTATGTTTCGTAGCTTTTTGAATTTTTATTTTCCATGAGCTCCAGAATAATTTGTTTGCTTTCTTCAGTTGTTCTTGCAATAGAAATGGAATCTTTGTATTTTATGAAGTTAGAGTGACATTTGATGAACGTTTCTAGAAATGCCTGTTTGTTTGGAGAATTTTGACTTGTTTATAATGTAGTGGTTGAAAATGAAATAAGGTTAATACATAAAATGGAGTAGCTAATAGACTATTGACTATTGAGTACTACGTTGGACTGTTTTAGTATTTATGTTATTTGGTTTTAAATGCTAAGTATCCATGCTTCTCCTTTCTGGCATAAGGATTTTGAATGTGTTTTGCTAGCCAGGGAATTTCATGGAAAGTTGATTTTGCTGCTTTGGGAATGTATTTTACCAAGTATTCCAAGATTTTGGCCTTAAGTTCAATTTAAAAAAAAATACCAAAAGAAGATGCTTCTATTGGTCTTCAATACTCATTTTGTTGTGTGTCATGAAAAGTCTTATGCCCCTTCCCTGCCCTACTTCCAATGAGTTTTACTTGCAGGAAAAGAGTACCATGCATGTTTATCATAAAACAGGTTTCAGAATTTTGGAAGTTTAGTTGTACAACTTGTACTTGCATTATAGCTTAGTGAATTTATACTGGAATGACAACATGTTCAAGTGTAAAGCTTCACAATATGGTGGAAGTGTTTTTGATTTTCAACAAAAGATTATTTTTTACACAAATATGGCTTCATGATGTGAAATTGTTAGTGTGTGTATGTGTGTGAGAGAGAGAGAGAGAGTTTTGGTAATTATTATATGCTGGATTGGTGGTTTAAAGTGGGATGGAGGAAGACAAAATATATTTCTGAATTTTCACTAATAAGTTACAGAGATGAAAGCACATTGACTTTTATGGAAACTTAAATGAAATAAATTTTTATGCATTTATGCTTATGATATAATTAACACAAGGAGGTTCTCTGTTTGATTCCGGGCCAACTACTGGAAATAATAAATATACATCAATAATTTTTTTCCTTTGTGATGCTATGGAGTACATCAAGAATATTTGTGATGCAATAGAAGATACTCTGTTTATTTCTTTGGTTACAAAGTAGTTTCTGTCATTTTCATGCAAGTATGTAACCTGTAAGAGGAAGACTATTGGTGTAAAAGGTTTTATTTAAAACTGCTTCAAAAATTGTTATGCCATTGATGCACACATGGCTTGATTTCCCCTTTTGAATATTCAGTATTTATGATCTCTCCAATAAATCAATGTTATATTTTTCAGGTTTTACGCATATGGTTTATCCAGGTGCTGTGCACTCCAGATTTGAGCATTCTCTTGGTGTGTATTGGATTGCCAGTCAATGTGTGGAAAAGCTTAGAAGTTACCAAGTATAAGATTTTATTAAATATATTTTCCCTTTAAAGGAATAGTAAAAGTTTTTTTTTGACAGATTTGAGCATGTGATCTTACAGGGCATGGAGCTTGGTATTGACAGATTTGATATTCAAACAGTGAAACTTGCAGGTAACTTATGTTTCTCAGAACTGCTGATGATTTTAATCCATTTTTTTTTGTTTTAAATAATTTATTTATACCATGGATGCCATCATTTCTGTAGGACTTCTACATGATGTGGGACATGGCCCCTTCAGTCACTTGTTTGAACGCGAGTTTCTTCCCCAAGTTGTCAGCGGTTCTCATTGGTACTCTTATATATATATATATATATATTCAGTATGATCCAATTTAATTTAATGATCTAATTTAATTTTTCTCTGCATTTTTTCCCTCATAATGTTTAGAGAGAAGATTTCATGTCTTTGTTTGTAAAAACTTAAAAAGTTTTATCTGGTTATTCTTAAATTTAATTTGTGATCAAAATTCACTCCGTGTGTCATATTTTGTATGTTGTAGGTCACATGAACAAATGTCGGTCAATATGGTTGATTATATAGTTGATGAACACAATATTGATGTTGATCCCCAAATGATAAAAAGAGTCAAGGTAATGCTACTATTAACAATTATGTTTTCATGCTTAAGATTACCAGTCTTTAGATTCTGAGCATCACTTAACCATCATTTGCATGAATGGAGTATTAGGAAAATTAGTTGCTAAAGTCATCAATACTTAGTTGATATAGACTTGGAAGTTGGAAACACCTTTCCTTTTAGTTTAGAAGCGTTTAACTTCTTTGAAATATAAAATGTGATAAGAGAGGCAGATAGCCATAGTAGTTCTCTATTGTAGCCTTTAGTTGGAAATGTTTGTTCAAGCTTTTCCCTGGACATTTCAAAACAGGTTTAGAAGGTTTTCTAGCTTCCATTTTTTCCATCACCTTTCCCTGTGTTTGTGTGGATATCCTAAGTTGATAGAGCTATTATGTGTGCTTTATGTTATTTTTGCATAGAGACATAGTTGTTCACTTATTCTGCATAAGAAGCATGGTGCATCACTCAGATAAATGGAAAGTAGGAAGTGGTTTGAGTCTTCATCTTAATTGGTGGTTAATATTGGCAGGAGATGATATTGGCAAGCTCTGAATCTTCTCCTCCAAGGGTAAGCTTTTTATATAATCTATTCTTAAGGTGTATTATTTTTTAATTTTTTTTTTACCATATGTATTTGTTACCAATGTCTCTGTTTCGGCCTCGCTTATTTGTTGTTGGTTATTTAGAGCTCAAATGAGAAAAGTTTCTTGTACGACATTGTTGCAAATGGCCGAAATGGAATTGATGTTGACAAGTAAGTTAACAGATAAAATTTAAAAGTCAAATTTGGTTCATAATTCTTTTGTATATACTCTCTTTCATGTAGTCTTTGAGTGGCAGAGCATCTGAGTTATACTATGTTCTAATGTTTTGTGGAAACTGTTGATTCACAGATTTGATTATATTTCCCGTGACTGTAGAGCTTGTGGTCTGGGATGCAACTTTGATTTTCAAAGGTATCACAATTTTCTTCAAAATAACTTGATTCTTATCATCAGTTGTTTGATAATTTTTTAGCTAGTAAGCAAGCCTAAATAAAGGTTATCTATCACTCCTAGCATCTTAAATCGTGATTTACTTACAGGCTATTGGAGACAATGCGGGTTTTGGATGATGAGATTTGTTACCGTGCTAAGGAGTGTTAGTGTCCCATCTCAAAACATTTTTTTGTAGTACCTTTCTATTTTTCTTATTCTTTTGTGTTAGTAATTGTCCCTTGCTTTTGGCTGTGTAAATTGTTAGACCTTACCATCCACAAAATGTTTGCCACTCGTGCTGATCTATATAGAACAGTTTACACACATCCAAAAGTGAAGGTATGAAGTAGATCCCTGCCTTTCCTTTTTCCATTTATTTAATGTCCATAAACATACCCTCGCTTTTACAGTTTCTTATCCTATCTTTATGTTTCCAGGCAATAGAGCTTATGGTGGTGGATGCACTTGTTCATGCCAATAACTATTTGGAGATTTCATCTCAAATAAATAATCCTATTCAGTACTGGAAGGTCATCAGGGCTTCTTACGAATGAACTTGTTTTAAAAGCATTTTTACAATGTTCTTCTAAATAAAAAAACATATTTACTTTAAAAATGCAGCTGGATGACACAATAATTAAAACTATTGAGACATCTCCAATTGAAGAACTAAAGGAGGCAAGGGAGTTGATCCTGCGGATTCGAAGGAGGAATCTGTACCAGGCATGTTTTTACCTGTTGTTTTTTCTGTGATTATCAGTTACATGCTGTATTTATTTATTTGGTAGTGGTATTTTTCTCAAGCTGATTGCATGAATCCATGCAAACTATTGTGTGGCTGTATCTAAATTTACATTTGCCTAAAATGTTTGTGTTTTGTGTATCCATTCAATTATTATTATTATTTAGTTTTGTAGAAGCTCAGGAAGTTTCTTTTTTGTTTTGCAGTTTTGTAATGAGTATCCTGTACCAAAGGATATGTTAGACAATTTTAAGAAAGTCACTGTTCAAGATATTATTTGTTCTCAGGTCTTCAATCTCTTTAAGTCTTCCCATTTCCATATACTTTTGATCCTTGCTGTTCAATGAGGATATTTCATGTTGTTTTATATGTAAATCATTTGACAGAAGAGTGGTGGAGTTACATTGAAAGAGGAGGATGTGGCTGTTTGTAATGTCAAAATTGATTTGACTCGTGGAAAGCACAATCCTCTGGAAAGGTATTCAATAAAGAATAATCATGCATTCTGAACATAGACAATTAGTTTGTTTTAACTTACTAATATCGTACACTAACTTATGTTTCTCTTTGTGCTTGTTTCTGGGGCAGCATCCACTTTTTCAAGGTATATGAATGAACCTAACTATCTTTTATCAGGACATTTCATCTATAATCTTATACTTTAATTGATTTTGATGGTGTCTATATTGTATAAATGGAGTATGCCGTCTTTTTGGATTAGTGAACCCTCTTACCTTGTGTAGTTTGACAGTTTAGTTTTTAAGCTATACTTCCAGAATTAGTTAAAGTTCAAACTCTGTTTTTACTGCTTGTGTGGAAATACTTGGCTGCATTTGTTGAAAACCATAGGAAATTAGGAATACTTGAAGTGTGTGTGTATGTTGGGCGATAGTGATTGGTGTATCTTTTGGATTAAAATTTTGCTAGCATGTATTACATTTACTAGTTCAATAATGTTTTCAGGACTATGAAAGTCAAGAGAAATTTACAATATCTGATGATCGTGTAAGCCACTTGCTACCTACATCCTACCAAGACATGATAGTTAAGGTGTACTCCAAAAAGCCAGAACTGGTCAGTGGAATTGAATCTTGTGCAAGTTTGACCTTATTTGCTTTACACATTCTGGTTGGATTTATTTAACTTTTACTTTGTGCAATGCTTTAGGTGGAGGCAATTTCAGAGGCTTTTGAAAATTTCCAGTTGAAGACATATGGGATCAAGACGCAGGTACATCCAACACCAGATAAGAAGAAGCGTCGTTACAATCCGCTTGTATGAGGGCAAATATATCATTACTATGATACCATATTTTGGCCTTTTTTTTCTGTCTCACCTTTTTTAGGTATACGGTATAACTATATTTTCCACAATTGAAATATAGTTTTAAGTCAAAAGAAATCAATACTACACTCTCTGAAGGAAGGTTGTATTTGAGTACCATGTCAAAGAGTCAATTACATGTATAGTAATGGTTAAGTGTAACAGCTTCATTTAGCTGTAATTGGCAGTGAGAGCAATCTTTTATGGTCACTGCTAGTTGGCAATTTCAACTTGCAAATGTTTCCAAATCTCATGTTCACTTTTCATGGATGAGACTGCATTTTAGTTTACCCTTTTAGACTACTAACTACTAAGCATTCATTACGTTAATTACAATTGCGATTAGTTGGAAAAAAAAGGAAGAAAAAGTCAGCTAATTAACTTGGTTCCAATGTACCACATAAAATCATTGGATAAATCTGATTGAGGGATTTGACCCAAAGGCATGGAAATATTGTTGGATTGCCAAGTTGACTCCTTATGGCAGAAAATCTAACAGCATATGCGTCTCGTGACGATGAAAATTTGTGGTGCTTAAGCCACAAAAGTCATAGGCCACGGTGCTTATCTAAAGATCTTAACATCATATTTCATGCTTACATCTTTGATGATATTTGGTGAATTTTTCCGTTATCAGTGATATGAACTATGAATGTAAAATTACTTTTTTTTTCCTACCAATCTATTTTGGGTTCATTTATATGTTGGGAAGGGTCGTCCTAATTTTTGTTCTGGATAGTTATGCCCCTATGATCACGGGTGTTACTATTGATAGCTCTTAATAAAAATCTCGAGCATTTTGCGATTCAGTTGAAACTTGGCCTCGTGATTCACGACTTTGTTGAGACTTGAGGGACATCTTTTTGGTCACATTAAAGTCTGAAAGTAGGCCTTCACGGGTAAGCATTAAGCATATCACCAACATAGAGACAGCAATGTTACTTACCCTTTTAATTCATTGCAAAGCAATTGCCTAAAATTTCATATTTCCTTTTTAGTATTTTCCTTCTGGAACTGAAACATAGAAATTCACAAACATACATTAGGCACGTCACATGAATATATATACCACAATTTTCTTTTTTAAATTTAAAATTTTGTTAAAATTCGAGATGTCGGTCATGTTTTATGGTAGTGTTCAATATATATCCCATGAACATGGTACATCAAATTTACAGACACCGAAAAAGTTCAACAATCTATAAATTAATCGAATTTCGAATTTTAAAGGGTGAGTTAAATTAACTGTTTGAAATTATACCAAAGTTATCATTTGTATCTGGAATTTGTGCACATCTGGCAACAACCAAACAAGCATTCTTTCCTTTCTTAAATTTGGAATATATATCATAGAATTGAATAACATTTATTTATTTGATGAAGATAAATCAAGTCCAGGCTGTATTCTAAATTATGATAATCTGTTACTTTTTTGTACCCATGATTCCAAAGTGTTAGACACGGACTAACACATCGTGATCATTGAAAAATTGAAAGCATCTTAAAAGGAAACGAATTCAAAAGAAATCATAGGTTTTGGTTCTTCCATCTATGTTTGATATTTCAGTTTTCAATCAACTATAACGACGATCTTGGGTTATGTAGATTACCATGGCCCATAAAAAATAGTTTGATTCTAAAATTGACACCTTGCTTGAGCTATGCTATTTTATAAGAAGGAAATATTTTTCTTTTCTATTTTTCCTCTTTTTCAAACAAGCTATATGGGTACCTTAGAATAACACATTTGGTGGCCAAGACTCTCTTAGCTTGCTTCTTTATGTTCTTTTTTTCCTTTGTTTTTCATACTTTATTTAGATCAAAGTACTTAAATTTCAAATGCAACCTTCCCCAGATGACCTATTCAAGCTTGTCATTGAAATTCTCTTTCAGCAAAAGAAGTCTTTTCCCTTTATAAGAAGTAGTCTTAAACAAACCAATACTAGTGAGACAGTTGGTGTGTACTTGGCCACTCAGGGTGTCAAATTGGCATTGATGACCAAGGATGGTATGAAAATAGACCAGGGAAAACCAATTATGAGAACCCATTTCAATGATGAGTACAAGAAGAAGCTAAACAAATTTGCTTCTTGTCACCTGGATGCATGCATTGATTTATGAGGAATACTTTTTATATTGTCCAGCATAAAAAGTATTGCCAAATGCACTAATATTTTAATATTTCTTTTCTCTATTTGAGTATTAATTATTGATATTTCAATGCCAAAGAGTTTACGATAACTTGCGCAGCATGCTCAATGAATGAGTTATACTTCATTAATCATTATTCCACACATTTATTTTAGAACATATAGTGGATGTTTAATTTCCGTAAAAAATCTTATTAACCACCTATAATAAAATCTCTCCTCCTAACTATACATTAGTTTTATTTACTAAATTTGAGCTTAAAACTTTACGAATCTAATTTTTTTTAAACCAGCTATTTGTTGATTAGAGTAAATAGCATGCATTCACATTGTATAACATTGTATAACAGTAAGTTTATTCAATTTAATAATAACTTTGTTAAGAGTTACACCAATCATAATTTTAAATTATTTTTAAAACGTATAGAAATTGAACCTTTTATTTTATCTTCAAAATAATTTTATCCCAAAACATAATTTATCATTTATTTTAAATGGGATGCATTCCCCTCATGTACAATTAAGGAAAGAAATTTAATCCCATTTTCTTAACATATGAAGCTTCTGTTAAAAGAAAAATAGTAATATAATTCAATCTTTGTGTACTTAAAAAAATTATCAATCACTCATCTATATTTTGCAAGAAATTTTTAGATGGTTTTGTCTGACGTTACTTGTATTATCTTTCAGTATAATAATTTCTATTTCATAATCCATTGCTTATTTTTACTACTAGAACCATTATTTGTCTCTTGTTTGACTATCTTGGCTGCCATCATTTTCAGTTTACATATGTTATTTTCACGTTACTTTGTGCATATCAAGTAGCGTGTTGACAAGTTGAGTTGTAAACTTCAATCAAAATCTAAAATATATTAAATTGTAAATATATATGGAAACTCTAAAAGTTTAAACACTTTAGTGACATTCATCATTTTTCTTTATATCTCTTTTTTGTCATTATAGTATTAAATTATTTATCATATTTATATTTCTTACTATTTTGTTTTTATGTTTCTAAATATATTCTAAGAGCATCTCTAATGGGGTTGCTTATAAGTAACTATACTTACCACATCAGCCTGAAAAAGAGCAAGTAAGTTACTTAAAATTTAACAAAATTACTTATATAAGTACCAATTTTTAAAAAAAATGAAAAAAATAAAATTGATGTGATATAATGTAGTACAAGGAATTATTTATAAGCAACCCCACTGCAGATGCTATGATGTGATATGTTCATGAATTATTTATCTAAACTAATTTAGTTTGTGCTAAATATGAAACATAGAATAGTTCTTTTCACTTATCTATGGGTGGGGAGGGGGTCCCACCAAACACTTAACATATATATCAACAATATGAAATGTATGAAGAGAAATCGTTTTATATTTTAATTTTAATAATTAAATGTTCCCCCTCTCTTTATCATAAAGATAATCCATTGGTTTCCCTAAAAGTTTGCTGCTACTGTCTTACTGTTTTATTGGAGTATTATATGTTGATGTCACAACCACAAATAAGAAAAATAAATAAATTGGTCCGAGTATATGATGGTCAGAGTGTTGATCAATGACTCTGAACTTCACCAAATCAAAAACTACGATTCTATGAAGTGATTACAAATATAAGGGTACTGGTCGTGGTCCAATTCCTCAATCATGATTAAAACTAATATGGATATAGTTAAAAATTAAAAAAAAAAAATTAAATTTGTATAAATAATTTTTTTTAATCGATGTTACGACTTTGTAAGAATCTATTCGGGTAAATTTATGTAGAAATAACTTTAAGAGAGAAAAATATGAAGAAAACTTAAATTTTTTTTCATAAATTAAAATTAATTTATACAAAAATTAAAAATAAAATTTTGAAGAAATTAATTGAAAACTTCTGCAAAAATTACCTTATATACAAACTAATTTTTATTTATGAAAAAATTTATTTTATTTTTTTTTCTTCTTAAAAGTGCTTATAAAAAGTTTATCCAAATAAATTAATTATTATTTCAGTTTTCACTTGATTTTAATAGTTCACATAGAAAAATATTTTTTTTAGGCATTGATAAGAGTATTTATCAGGGCCGTCGGAAAGAAATTCTTAAGATCTTGACTATATTAAAATTATTTTTTACAACATTTTTTTTTTATCAAATCTAACACCCAAATTTAACTCTTTAAAAGTTGAGGATCAATGCAACATCGTGTAAGGGAGGTATATTGGATTAGGATTTTAAATGATTTTTTTAGTTGAAAAAAGTCTTGTTGATTTTAAAAGACTTTGCAAGATTTTCATAACTTTTAAAATTTTGTAAGATTTCACAAGATTTTCAATCAGGATTTTAATGGATTATGCAAAACTTTTACGTTAGGATTTTAATGGATTCTGCGGGACTTTGTGAACTTTGCAGAATTTCATAAATTTTATACATTCAAATTTAAAAAGAGTCAAATATAAAAATAATAAAAAAGATAATAATGTCTGGATAAATAATAATAATTTTTTGTAATATCATGCCGTTCTAAATAGAATTCACCCACATATCCATAGCTATACTAGTCCTCCAAATATTAGTATCTTTTCGCTCTTGCTACTGTGTTTTAATAATAGGCTCAAAATTATGATTTTCATTAACCAGTAATGTTAAAGATGAAGGTTCGTCCATCACTTCAATTGAAAATTCATCATAATGACATTCTTTACGAAGAAAGTTATGTAGTCCCACACATACTAAAAATTATTCTAAATAACATTTCAAATTTTTTTTATAATTTGTGGTTTAAAATATTTTATTTATAATTTTATAAATGATTAAAAAAAATAGTGGGACAACTACCCTACTCTCTTATAACTAAATATGTCCCTTCATTTTATATCGATACTAAAGTAGATATTTACAAACATCAATTAGGAGAAAAAAAAATATCTGAAATTTGTTACAAGTACAAAATATTTTTTTAATTTTTAATTGCTTTCAATTATTCACCCGCGAAGAAATATTTTTAGTATTGAATTATAAGATACTGCAATGTCTTATGTTAATTTTCTTTTTTAAAATATAAAAATCTTAATTTCATAATATAAAAATTAAAAAAATAAAATTCATAGTAAAAAAAAGAAATAAAATAATTGTTGAATTATAAAAAGGGAATGATAACAATAACAAATTCAAGAGAGGGAGAGAAATCACAGTTTTTATGTTGAGAGGGTTCTTCTCCCAACTAAGATCCATTCCTATCTCATTCTATTTACAGAAATCCTAACTCAAATTCATCTTTTACATATATATACATACATACATATATATATATATATATATATATATATATATATTGTTCTAATAAATCTAAATTGATTACAAGGTCTTGAAGATCTATAGTTGATTATAGAGATAATGATATCAATTTTAGCTTTTACCTTTCCTTTTTCTTGACGCGTGTTATAAAAAAAATTACTACTTAAAAGTTAAAATTTCAAGTGTTTTCTGTGTTATATAATTGAGGAACAATCTCAATTAAATAGACCAAAATAGAGCAAGTCAATTAAAGAGAACGGAGAGAAAAATAGAGCAAGTTAATGACACTATCATTTACGTATATAAATTTCACCAAATAGGAGAATGAAATGAGAACAGTAATACAATATTCTATATAAGTAGTAGAGTAGTATTATTAACAAGAAAAAAAAAATGGAGAAAACATGAGCATAGAAAAAAAAATAGATGAAAAACCCACCTGAAAATTCTTGAAGCACTTGAAAAGTCACTTAAAACAATCCTCCAAAATCTTATGAGTTTGGATGAGATTGTTTTATGAATTTGGTATTTATAGATACCACTAAAAAGTCCATCAAAATTCCTCTAATACAACAATCCTTTAAAATCCCTATATTTTTGAATACCAATAGATTGTTTTTAAGTTGTAAAAAGTTTCAAATGAATACGAATGAATTTTAATGGACTCTTTAAAAAATCTTAAAAATCCTGATTGAATACCACTGAATTGTTTTTAAGTGACATAAAGTCTTGATTGAATACCAACGAATTTTTTTACTAAAAAAATCTTATAAAATCTTATAAAATCCTAAATCAATACACCCGTTAAGACTTAACAATCGTTGGTGCATAAAAGAGTATTTGATAATAAACATTAACGATTTAAATATTTTAAGAGATTAATAAGAAGAAAAAAAAAAATACCCTGGTTTATGAAAAATGAATCATGATTCCAAGTTAGACATTTGCCTCTGTGACAAGTGACTCTCTTAACCGTTTGCATGATCACTCATTGATGAAGCCAAACAACTTGTTTGAAAGAGATGGCAACATGTAAAGGTACGATAACCGTGAATGCCATAAATGTAATTAGCAAAAAATAAAACTGAAACACAAAAGGAAAAAAAAAAAAAAAACTCACCAAACAACTAAACAAGGCATGGCACAGACACACAGAGAGAAAGAGATCTTTGGGTTCAATAAATTAGAAGTTGAAGGGCTTGTTAATTAGAAGAAGAGCAAAGTGGGTCAGAAACACACGTCGTGTTCAGGCAAAATCCATGTGCCCACATGGATGATTGAGAGAAAGAGAGAGAGAAAGTGAGAGTATTGTATTTATGACCTCAACATCACCACAAGCAGCAGCAGCAGCAACAACACCTGGAGTGGCAGCAAAAACATACTAGTAGCAGAAGAGAGACACAATAGACCCACCAAGGAAATTTTGCTCAAAACAAGAACTTGCTACCAAAGTTGGTAACTTTTGATGGTTCTAAGTGAGTTGAGTTTGAAAGTCCATAGTGGGGTGTAGTGATTTTTGATTTTTGAGTTTGGAGTGGGGAAGGAAGAGAAGGGTTGAGTGGGAGAAATGAAGAAGAGTGAGAGTGGGGGGTATGTGAGAGCGGATCAGATAGATCTGAAGAGCTTGGATGAGCAGCTTCAGAGGCATCTGAGTAGGGCATGGACCATGGAGAAGAACAAGGAGAAGGAAGAAGATGAGGTTGAAGGGAGGTCAACAAGAAGCAGACAAGAATGGGAGATTGACCCTTCCAAACTCATAATCAAGACTGTCATTGCTCGTGGTACTTTTGGCACTGTTCATCGTGGAATTTATGATGGCCAAGATGTTGCAGGTACACTCTCTTGCTTTGGTCTCACAAGTTTTTAGTTTCCATTTGATGTTTGTTTGTTTTGTACTCATATGCAACTAATTGTTTCAAGAAAAAAAAACATGGAAAGTTGTTTTTCCCTCCCTTTATTGCACTTGTTTATTTAACACCACACACATGTGCAATTAGTTCGAGAAGTTCATGTAGTTGGTGATTTCAACTGAGACTGTTGCATAATGTGCACATGCTCCCAAAATGTCCTGTCCCCTCTTCCTGAAATGTGTACGTACCATGGGGTTGTTAGGTCTCCTTTTATGTGAATGTCATGGTTTCATTTCATATACAAGTGTCTTTTCTATGATGTCTCACTTAACTTTCAATGGAAGTGCAATGAAGGGTTTCAAAGAGTATGTTAAAGATCCACTGCTCAAGTTTTGTTTAACCTATTCCTACTTTTGATTTCATTGTGCTTGTATTTTTACAATCAAGCGACAATTTGTGCTTGTTCTGCGAATTTTATGGTTTCCTGAGTTCTTTGAGGAGGCATCTAAGTTGATGGTGTTTGGTTACTGGTTAGCCGCAACTGCCAAGCATTGGAACTTTGTGGATCAAGTTTTGCAAAATCCGTGATTCACAAGATTGAGTACACTTTGTTTCTTTTCTTTTTGTTTTCTCTAGAATTCACAAGATCCAGTTGACTTGACAATTATGTGCATGAACTTTAATGTTCTTCTTTTCTGTTCTTTTCTTTTCTTTTTTGAACTTTCATGTGTTCGTGGTTATTACTGTTGTGCCCCTGATTTTACTTCCATGGGGTGGTATAAGAATTTTTAAAAAATAATAATAATTGAAATTATTGACTGGTTATTATGTTGCCACATACATTTCTTATTCATAAAAAATTCTTTGAGTGGGAGTCGGCTATCTCGTGAGAGTTAAAATTATCGGTGATAGTGTGATACTAATGCCTTTTTGAGATTTTGTAATTGTCATGCTGTATATGCTCTCAACTTTATTATCTTAACAGTTCCTGGATGCTAAACTTGTTAGTCCTGCAGCTTTCTACCAAATTTTAAATGAATGAACATTTTAAAGTAACTTGTGAATGTGAGTACATGCTCACCTGTTGCTTTCATAACATGCAATTAATCTTTCATTTTGTTTTTCTCAGTTAAGCTCCTTGACTGGGGGGAAGAGGGCCATCGGTCGGAGGCTGAAATAGCCTCTTTGAGAGCGGCTTTTACTCAAGAAGTTGCTGTTTGGCACAAGCTTGACCATCCTAATGTAACCAAGGTAATGTTTGGGCATTCATTCGTTTCTTGTGTTAACAGTGTTTCTTCTTTATCTTGTGTTGTTCCACAACATGAGAGCTTACTATAACAGGTTTATGTGCTGTCATTTGCCATTATGAATCAAACCAGATAAGAATGGAAAGTATATAATCAAACAAAACAAAAGGGGGAAAATAGATGAGGAAGAGATCTTGAGGTTTAATGCATTCCTTGAGGCAAGTATTGGAAAAATTCCGAGAGTCAGAATCCCCTGAACCTCAAGCTGTTTTATCTCTTCATAGTTTGAATGTGATATCATGGCTTGATTCTGGTCACATTTGTGTCAAATAAATTCTTCTTAAGGTTTATTCCGTGCTGTGCTGTTTTCTCTACTATTTTGGGGGAGGGAAGAGGATTGAGTGGCAGTTGGTGGGTGTAGGCCACATTAAGATCCACACTGAGGGGAAATACCTTTGCAAGTGTACTAGGCAGGAACTTTTTCCGGTCTTAAGGATCCCCCATATGCAATACATTAAATTTGCATCATAGTTTCAAACATTTATGTGAGAATTTTCTTATATGCTCTTACTGTCAAATCCATTTTACAGTTTATTGGGGCAACAATGGGAACATCAGAGCTACAGATACAAACGGAAAATGGTCATATAGGCATGCCAAGTAATGTTTGTTGTGTTGTTGTTGAATATTGTCCCGGAGGTGCGCTGAAGTCTTATCTCATTAAAAACCGAAGAAGGAAGCTGGCTTTTAAAGTGGTTGTTCAACTGGCTCTTGACCTTGCAAGAGGGTCCAATCTTTATGCCTAATCTGTGTCATACAACTTTTATAGAATAAGCTGCCTTTCTAAGTCTGAGAACTTTTTTATTATTTACTCTATAGGTTGAGCTATCTCCACATGAAGAAGATTGTCCATAGAGATGTTAAAACAGAAAATATGCTACTGGACAAGACACGAACTTTGAAAATAGCTGATTTCGGAGTAGCTCGTATTGAGGCTTCCAATCCTCATGACATGACAGGTGAAACTGGAACCCTTGGTTACATGGCACCTGAGGTATATGCTTCAATTCCTCTGAAAACCTCTCATTTTTCTTTTGGGATTTGTTTTGAACGCTATTGATTTCTAATTGTCTAGTCCTTCCCTCTACTTCAATAAAATTTTGAAACTGTTGGACCTAGGACTTGTTAAATGTGGTCAGCTATGCTCTAACTAATTGTGAAAGAACTGGGATGAATATTCCGCTCTTGAAAATAAGGACATTGCCATATTGGAAAAATAAGGACATTGCATTGTTCCATTCCATGGTTCATGCTTTTATCAGGAATTCCTTTTGTTTTATAATTCATCCAACAATCATGTATATATCCACATTGGTTCTGGTGCATAATTACTCTAAGAAATCTTTACCTTGCAAAGTCCCATTTACAATTACTGAGATCTAGAACTTCAGCGTGTCACTACTCACTAATCTTGAGATATTACAGTATCTAACACACTGCATCCTTTTTAAAAGTATTCTGAAGATGAGTCTATATACAATAAATCTCTTTTGGTGAGAGACTAGTCAGTCATTTAATTGTAGCTTTCTGATATGCATGGCTTCTCAATTGGAGTATACTTTCTTATTCTCACTTTTCAGAATTGTGAGCTTTATTAAAATTGCATGAGAGAAGGGGTAGAGGGTAACCAAAAACAAACATATAAACAGGTTTTGCTTAAATACTCAGTGCTCCTGCAAATGATGGTTAACTCTCTTTAAATACATGACCCTCAACACAATCAGTCATATATAGCTTGGCTTTGCATGAGTAGTTCATGTTTTCTTTGAACAGTAACAGATCTTATACATTGGTATATGAAACTTACCTGAAGAAATTTGGCAGGTTCTAAATGGCAATCCATACAATAGAAAGTGTGATGTGTATAGTTTTGGCATATGCTTATGGGAGATATACTGCTGTGACATGCCATATCCTGACCTTAGCTTCTCAGAAGTAACATCAGCTGTCGTACGACAGGTATATAAAATGTATCAAGTGGCTTTGCAATTGCAAGCATAAGCTATTTTCTTAGGAAGCATCAGCATGAAAAATTGTTAGTTTATGTACAAATGGTCCCATACAATCATATTTCATGTTTATACACCCCTACTAGCTGTTTTCATTGAACTAGATTCTTCATGGAACTGCAGAATCTGAGGCCAGAGATTCCGCGATGTTGTCCTAGCTCTCTGGCAAATGTGATGAAAAGATGCTGGGATGCGAATCCTGATAAGAGGCCAGAGATGGATGAAGTTGTGTCCATGTTGGAAGCTATTGACACTTCAAAGGGTGGAGGTATGATCCCTCATGATCAGCCTCAAGGTTGTTTATGTTTTCGCAGGTATCGAGGACCTTGAAAGATTTTTCACTGCCAAGGAAATCGATTGTGGAGGGATGATATAGTGTTCTGGTGATCAGTTTGTATTTTATTTCATTGAAGGAATAGGGAAGGAAGACTAAGGATGGAATGCATACACAAAAACTGTGAAAGCAATAGTGAATGAAGAGCTCTACAATTACTTGTTACTTTGTTGGGCTATAATTTTTGTAAAGCTAATTGTGCTCTCTCCTCATTGCACCCATTTTTATGATATTTCTATGTAAGTTGTACACTTGACAGTAGTAGCATGGATTGTTCCAACACTAATATCAAAGTCCTGATGGGTCATTTGATGTCCTATGAGCGTACAAGTGATCTGTTTTGGGAAGATCTGCTCATGTGCAGAAAAACATGACCTATAATATGTGGAATAAATACAATTTGGCCATTAAAAGATGTTATATGTTGTAGATTGAGGAAAGTTTTTGCTTGTAAAATTGACAGTTCAAATTGTCAACTTGCTGACAAGTATGTTGAACTTATCTACTTGTTAACAAGTTTATCTCTACGGTCAAAATCTTTAAAGGACTCACGAGACAAGTAACATTTTGACGCTATATTATTATATATACCCTCGTAATATACGATTTTATGGTTAATTTAACTGGCCCATTTTGGCCAATGAAATTATGCTGAAGGGAAACTATTAAGGACTAGAGTTCATAACAGCACTAGTAACAAGAGTAATGCTAGCACATAAATAATTCTTAAATGGTAAAATCTTGCATGATATTTTAAATTAAAAAAATTCTCATGAGCATTTCAAATTCCCTTAAGAAGCTATAAGATATGTCAAAAGTTTTGGCCAATTCAAAAAAATGTTCCAAATGTTTACAAATACTAACCACCCAGAAGGTTTCTATACAACAAACCAGTTGACCAAATTTTCATGCCAAACATCAATCTTAAACAAAGCCATGTTCTCAAACCAAATTTCTGCTTCAAATTATCCGTACTTCTGTCATCTAAAGCTCTTAATTAGGGCCACTTTGCTATGTATAAAAGATCTTTCTGTTAAAGATTCTGATTGAGCTGTGGATGAAGAACTCTCTTGGTGTTCTACAAGTGTTTCTGATATGTTAATGATATCTTCTATTTTATTTGCTACCTTGTAAATAAAGATAACTAGAGATTGAAGAAGTTCTCTACCTCATTTTGGGTGACAGATAAAGAAGAAACTTCATCTAATAAGACTCCAGCTATATAAACAGAATCACTTAGATCATGGAACCACTTTTGAATCAGTTCCGCGTCACACTAAGCCCTGCTTCAAAGGCATATATGGTTGATTTCAACTTTTGCAAGAAAGTTCTGGTCAAAGATTCTTTCCATGGTCGAAGCTCACAACCACAGGTGTGGAGAATGATATAAATATAAGCATAGAGAGAATCTCCACCAAACTTCTCAGCCATATCTTATGTTGGAGACGAGGAAGGTAATTGTAGACGTGCTACAAGATTTGTGTACTCACTCTTGGGAAAACAATGACTTTCACATACAGTGTGAAACTTCGAATACGTTTTAGATGATGCAACATCCACCACCAAAGAAAGATGCTTTGTTCTCTTTAGATATTTCTTTCTTGTTAGAATTTATGAAAGAGAATCTTTAATATGCATGCATATAATCAGTAAATACGAGATTTAAAGATGAAAGCTAAATTTATTATCTAGTTATGAAAGCAAATTTTACATAATTTAACTCTTTGGTTGAACACCTTTTTAGCTTTCTTTTTTATCAATTCTTAACCTTAAAAATAAACTGAATCCTAATCATGCTCAAGGCACTCCTGTTATTTATCAATTGTTTTGATGATATATTATACTTAGTCATATTACATTGTATTATCCACTCTAACTTTATCTTTTGTGTACATATACCCCTTTATTCCTTTAAGAGAAAAATCCCTTATATTCTCAATTTTAGCAATTTAACCATAAATAAAGTCAGTGTAATTAGATCCCCTTGTATAGAACTCCATTTAACAAAAAAGAGTGACGGCCTCTGTAAATTTCCCCCTCCAATTAGCACCGATGAAACTAAAATAACTATTCACAAAAAATAACAATTCACAAAAATCCCTTGTAAATTTATGGGATCACCAAGCCCTTTTTTAACTGTTGGGTCGTTAATCTGTTGTTTACCATAATGTTATTGTACAATGTTATCTTAATCCTTCAAGCAATTTCCCGTTAAAAGGGTAAAAGACTATTTTTCACTTTTTTCGCAAAGGAAAAAAGGTACATTGATATTTCTGAGGCGATAAAAGAAGGAAAATACTATATAAAAACTCAAACAGAATCATTCCACAAAAACCATTGAATTGCATAAGGTTTTTAATAAAATACCGCCCAAGGATTGATGTAATGGTACAAAGAATTGTGAATTTCTATATAAATATGTTTATTTAATATTACTCAGGTAAAATAACCGTCACAAGGCTTTTTGGTCTGGTGCTCACTTGATAATGAGTGAGAGTTGTTCCTTACATGGTTGGAGTTTGGGTTCTAATTCAGTAGACAAAAAAAATTATCTCATCAGATATGAATAACTCCAGCTCATTATTATCAGAAACTGTAAGATATGGCCAACAATTTCCTCACCGAACAATCATAACTTTATTGATGAATTGGTAGAATGAGAGTTACAAGCAAGGGTGCTGAATAGTCTTAATTTCTTAAAACAGAATAAAATCTCAAGCTGTTTAACTGAATGCTAGATTCTAATAAAATGAATACTTGCTTTCTGATAACAACGGAAACAAAGTAGGGGGAGTGAACTTTGCAATGTAATAGCCTGCATTCTTGTAAAGCCTTGAAGCGCCAATAAACACTACTAGCGCAGTATTTGATCGCAAAAAGCACAGAAAGATCACTAGCCAGCAATCTTGTAGCTTGGATTCACCAAATTATCCAGGCCAGAAACTACTTGAATAGATTCAATGACATCACCAACCTTGAGGTCTGCCAAGTAATCCTCATTTTCTGTTACATAACCAAAGACTGCATATCGACCATCCAATATATTGGCATTACTAGGAGTTAGTTCACTTTCTTTCAATAGCCAAAATATCTGGCTAGAGGCAGAGTTGTCCTCAAATTCCTATTGAACAATAGAAAAGAAGTAAATAAAAGCAAGAAAAAAAGATTAGCAATGCTTAAAAAACAGCCATGTCAAAGAATAGATTCTCACATCTCTTGCCATTGCCATAGTACCAAATGCATTAAAAGGAAGTTTTGTTTGAGCCTTGTATAGACCAAGCTCCTGTCCAAATAGATCATTGCCAACAACAAATGAGAAAGTTTTCAACCTTGAGACAGTAAGAGGAACACGTTTGAATGTATAGAATACATCACGTTATAAAGTGAAACTTCATGCAAGAAACTAATACTAGCAAAAGAACACTTAAAGACCCCCAATTAAGATTTCTCTGATTATATAGCATCATGTGTGATTCAAGCTCCGAAACAGAGGCTGATTTATTCTTACATTGTACAGAAGCTAATTACATTTGGAATAGGTTGTTTGGATTTTTTTTGTGACACTTAAGTGTATCCTCTTAGCTTGAGACAGTTTCCATTGACCAATTTTTTGGTCTTTGTAAGAACTAAGGGAAGGGAGGCTTTAGGGCAATGTGCTTTTTATGATATATTTTTTCAATCAAATGCTCATATTTTGAAGACTCGGTCCTTATACAAATAAAGATGTGCAAATAGATAACATGCCCCAAGAGTGATATATAGTTGAAGATTACCTCTAAAGTTGCTCCATAAACAGGTGCCTTTTCTCCACTCACCGAAATTTCTAATGGTATTGTCCTGGTTTTCTCTGTACTTGGGTCAATAAAACCCTCAGCAGGGCCTTCAGGATCACCAGTTTGGACAACAAACCCATCCGCTGCACAAAACAAAAAAAGTTGAAAAAATAAAATTTAACACTATCTTGGCGAAAGTGTAACTAAAGAGGAAAGCAAGACAGAGAAGCTCATTTTGGATATCCACGCACAAAATTACAGATATCAATAATTGTAAAGGATCATCCAGCTTCCATCGCATATGATAAAATACTGTTAATTCATTCTCATCAAAGGTTAATATAAATGTATACATCCCTTCATGTCATTTCCTTCAGCTTTGGCTTTGTGCAATGAGTGAAACTAGTGTACCTAGTATCTATCTTCTAAAACATAGCAAGAGGTTTAAAACATTCTTTACCAAACCAGCTATAGCTAAAAGGGAAATCAAAGGCAAAAATGCATGTCCAATAAAGATCCGATTTATTACCTCTCTGGATTTCCATTCCATCATAGAAGTGCCTTTCTACCAAGTCAACAAAATTTCCAGCAGTTACAGGGGCATTGTAACCATCAAGAACTATGTGGAAGACACATTCATCCAGGTTTGGATTGTCTTTGACCTTGACCTTCATATCCACTGCTGCTCTCCCCTTCAATAAAGGCATATTTTGGTATTCCTCAGGAACTTCATATGGGAAGCCATCAACCATGTCTTCTTCAACGCTGCAGAAATGCAATGTCCCAGGAACATCTCAGCTGCATTCAATGAAAGGTTCTATATGAGAAAAATCTTTCTCAAGAAAATTATTTTTCCAAGTCCCCCTCAATTGTCAATTGTTAGAAGGACGATTCAGTTTTTGCCAACATCTGGTAGAACCAGAGGCTCAGGAAAGCTTATTCATTAATTGGACTGAATTTGGATTCAGCCCAGTCAGAACAGATCAAACTTAGCAGGTTTTTTTTCAACAAAATCGATCCAGAGGGATTGTGCTAAACTGGTTGCAAGTCTAGTTTGCAATGTCAGGTAGTACAAATGAATGCTTTTCATGGCTATCTGACCAAACATGAAAAAAAGATTTAGTTATGGTCAAGATTAAATTGCCTTGATTATGCATAACCAGGACAAGGGGACAACCCTCACCGGTAATTTACTGGCTGTCCAATGGTGCAGCTCACAGACAAGGTTGATTATGGTCAAGATTAATTGCCTTGCCCCATAGATTCAAGCTAAAGCATACTTGTATCGTTGAAACAACACACACCTTGATGCAGACCTCTTTCTGGAAGTTCCTATTGTTAGATTAAGGAACACGAAGTGCTTTATATTGTCATAGCACACCTACACAATGTCCTAAATCCTAATTATAGTCACAAAGTCTCAGATTCTAAATGACAGGTGGATACTCGGATAGAACAGACACTTATAGTGCAATACATTATGACACAGTGAAAAGCAAAAACATTTAATGAAGCCACAAATTAGCCTTTCATTTCTTTCCAGGAAGAA